GGACATCAAGAGGTTGACAAAAAGTCCCCTAAATTTTGTAAGACTATAAAACAAATTTAAAATTTTGGAAATAAAAGACAAGTGACCCAACACTAGAATTTAGGTTGTTGAGTTATGAAATGTCTATAATATTCTTTATTTTTTCTTAAATAACTATTCATAACTCCATTTTTGATCTTATTAAATTAGCTCAACTCAAAATTTCACAATTACATTTCATTTCTTCCAAATAATCACACAATGAGTCTCTTTAGAGCTGACTTTTTTAGATGAAAAACTGTGGTTTGAAAAATTTCTCAAAAAAGTCAAAATTAAAAAAGTCTTATAAAACCATTAGGGGTGTTTTTTTAAAAAAAAATAAAAAAGCTAGAAAGATCCATTTGGAGTGATTTTTAGTTTTTTGTGTCAAAATAAAAAAATAATTATATGTATGTATGAATTATGTATAATAGTTCCTAAAATATGATTTTAAAATATTTTACATCACTAATAACCGTGATTTAAGCTTCAAAACATTTATTTAAGCTTACTCTAAACAGCTACAACCACAATTACCTTTCATTTCTTCCAAAACTCATTTATGTGAAATTCACATAGGTAACCGTGTGCAGGCCTAGTATGTATAATACAACAAAAACAAAACAAAAAATGGCAAACCTTGCAATTAAATATGATTATATTCTGGAATATCCAATCTTTATCTTACATAATGATTGAACCACAACTGTGATAAATCTTATTCCCAGTAAAAGTCTATGATCATTGATCAGACTTCATATTGCTCAAGCTGAATATCCTTTGCTTTCAAAGGCTCATACTCTCCCAGATAAACCTCAAGATGATCGGACAGCGTTGACTTATCGATGTTTTCATGGTGGTAAGATTTGCAGACGAAGTAGATTATAGTTTGAATCACCAACCCGAAGAGAATCAACTTTAAAAGCAAGAAGAAACACAATAACCCAACTCCAAATCTGTACTCAAACCTCTCCAATGTCCATCGGCGAACAACAAAATATTCAAACACATACTGTATGGCGAAGAAAGAGAAATTGAGCTTGAAGAAGATAACAATGGCGATCCACATCTTTCCCTTTATCAGTTCCTTGCTCTTGATCATGGCTTTGAATCCATATGATTCTTCTAAAACTGATACAACGCTAGCCAACTGCCAAATAATGGTCACATAAATAAACCCAACTATGTAACAGACCAAAATTATGTAGAAAATTATCACACCAGCATTGGAGTCAATGAGATCCAGGATGAAGTAGAGTATTAGACCTGCAACGAAGTTATACGCAAATAATGCGACGAAAGTGCAAAGAAAAGTGACCATGAGTCTCTTCCAGACCTTGGGTACAACGCTCATGACCTTCTTGAAAGTCACTTCACGAGCTGTGTATACGGAGGCGACGGTGTAAACCACCGCAGAAGTGGAGAGGAGAGAGAAAACGAGGAGGAAGGTGAAGTAAACGAACTTGAAAATCCAGAAATAGACCCACTCTGATGATATAACATCGGAGACTCTTTTGAATCTTCGACTGTCTGGTGGTGATCTATGTAACATAAATTCGAGGTGGAAGATTTTTGAGAGAATTAAGTGTGCAACTTCGATATGAGCGAGGAAGATGAAGGAGAGAGGGAGGACCAGAGATAGGGTGATTTGGCTAAAGATTCTTCTCCATCTGAAGATGATCTTGAAGGCTTCTGTGTAGATGCCGAAGAGACCTAAGAATTGCATTTCTTCTTGCTCTCTGTCCATGGTGGGGTTTTTTTTTTTTTTTCTCTCCAATGGAGGAAACGATGGAGAGGTGAGAGAGGGAAGGGAGATGGAGTGAGAGGGTGGGTTGTGAGGTGGATTATAGAAGATTGGGTTGGTCCTTTTTATATCATAATACCCATAGTTATGAATTTTACTACAAATCAATACCCTGTCCTCCTTTAATATCAAACCAAAAATAATTGAGGAATAAACTTTGGAATTACCCCCATGTTTTTAACTTACTAATGTATCAAGCATCAATTGATATGGTACCAATAAAAAAAAAATAATGCTAATTGGACTTAATTTGATGATCTAATTGATAATAACAATTGGATTAGCATTAAATGTCAATGTTTAATGAGATTTATTGTCAATCCAATAGTTATATATAGTCGATTAGGTCAACATATTAGATCTGAATAATATTACTCATGAAAAAAATTTAATAACAATTATAGTTACAATACCGTTATTGGACTATGTCATTATTTAGTCTACAAATTAGGTTAGATTTCCAAGTTTCAATAATAATAATGGACAAAATTACGATATCAAAAAGTGTTTTTGTGGTTTATGTTGAAGTTATTACAAAATAAGGGTTAGGTTACACCAAAATGCAGCTACTTGGAATCGATTATAACATTGAACTGTCCATCCTATTTTTTTATTTTTTGTCGCAACTTAATCTCATTTCGTTATAACTTAATGGATAGCGATTACTTTTCTCATAAAAAAAATATAATTTTTGATACAATATTTCTGTTAGTACCATAGCCTTATCCATTATTTTCTCACCATTCTTACTGCAAAAATAAAGCTAAATTTCATGTTCAACATGAATTTGGATAGATAGAGGGACCACAATCTAACTGAAGTGAACTGGAAACTTGTTTGTTCACCTTGGACAAAGATGGGTAATATTTGAGATCCAGATGGCGTGTTTTGACATGTTTGTTCACACAGTATGGGGCATTATATTCTCTAGATTATGCCATCCTGTTCGATTATTTGTTGGTTTCTGTTTGGTCCTTTCAAGTATAGATTTTTTGTTTGAAATATGATAATGTAAAGCTTGACGTATATCTTTGTAAACTTGCTTTCGTTTGGAGTCAATAATATACCTTACCTCTTACTTACCCCAAAAAAATTTCCAAAATGATCTTGGAAGCTTAACCAATCTACTTGATTGTTGTCTTTTTTCTTTGCTCCTTTAAAAGTTCTTACAAATACTTTAGTTCCAGCGTGGATGATCGGTCTTTGATAAAACGGATGAGAAGATTAATTGAGGTGTACGTAAGTTGGCTTGAACAACCGAACTGACGGTTGAACCCAAAAAAAAAAATGAAGCATTAAGTTTTTGTTATTTTATCTTTCTTTTCTTTTCCAAAATAATACAAAATCCATATTACATGAATACAATTTGTGTATGACATGAATCAAACACAATGCAAACATAATTATACACGATTACAAATTAGTCGTGCCCGTATTGAGCACATTTTAACACGACAGGCACAATGACATGGTTGATCTATACTGTCTTAACATGATGTCATTTGCATAACAAATGCTGAGAAAATGGCATTAACGGTAGTTTAATGGAGATACACAGGGGTTTGTGATTGGACAAAGTAGCTTAGTAGTTAGTTCCGAGAGGGAGGTGACGGCAAGGAACAAACGAAAAGGTTCATCGGGTCTTACACGCAATGGCGAAATTTCTTAAGGTATTAGCCTAATTAAAATCCTTTTCTAAGTATAGGGATATCCAGAGGCTGACAAAACTGCCCCAAAAATGTTGACCCCACCAATTTGTATATGTTATCTTTATACAGGATTATACTAATTTTTTTCAAATCGCTCTAATTTTATTGGACGTCTCCTCCAACATAAGAATATAGAAACAAGTATAAAAAAATTTATAAATTTACCTCAACACAACTTTATCTTTAAACGGTATAACTTAGATTTTAAAAAGTAGTCTCGATTAATATTTTATCCTTTTAAAAAGTAGTCTCGATTAATAACTTTAGAGATTCTTACTATATTTTATCCTTTTAAGTTTGATTAATATTCAAATTTCCACTCAAACTCTTCTAGATCAAGGCCATGGTTAGATCAGATATAGAAGTTGTGCATGACAAAAGATACCATTTGATGATCATTTTAACTAGGTCTAAGATGTCATTGACTTAATTTTGGTATCCTCAAATTGCTGCAGTTTCCATGACTTCAAAGGTATGAGTGTTAGTTATTTATCACATTCCTCTATTTATATTGTTTTAAAACGACTATCACCTTCTTCTATTTAGCTGACCTAGTTGATTAGCTTAAGAGTTGGTGGACCCATAGGTTTAAAATTCGGCCCGAATATTAAACCGACAAAGGGATCGGGTCAATGAATCACTAGTTCAATTGTTGAATTACTGGTCGGACTAGTAAAATAATAATAAATAAATAATAATAATAATAAATGGGCTAAAAAAAATACAATAATTAAGAAAATAGCATGCTTAATGGATATTGAATCAAATAAAAACCCCAAAATCATCAAACATATATCCAATGTATTCAATTTCCAATCCAACTTGTAAATTGAAGTTCTCAAACTTAGTCAAATTACATGAACATTCTTCAAATAGTTGGTACTGGATTTAATCAACTAAAGTGTTTGTTAAGTATGTAACTACTGATTTATTAAGTTCTAGTGCAAATAGGACTGTTAGTCGAACGAACATGAGTCTAGTTTGAAAAGTTTATTTTTTAATTGAGCTTTAAAAATTCTTAAACGAGCCGAATCCAAGTCGAGTCCAAGCCGAGCCCGAGTATTTGTATATAAACGAGCCGAAATTATTGAGTTTGAATTGAACTTATAAGATTTATTTGTTAGACGAGTTTAAAAACTTGTTCAAGTTCGAGTTCGTTTAGAAAACGAATCAAACCTGAACGAACTGAACCCGAGCCAAACTCAAGCCAAGCACAAGTAACTCAGTTTGATTAACGGCCTAAGTACAAATGAAATTTATATTTCCACATCAAAATACAACGTTAGTAGAGATGCTTGTTAGTTGGATATCAAAATCTAAAATTGATAATGTGATTAATATTGAAATTGACCCAAAATTTATACATAACTAGTCTAAAATAGTAGATTAACAGAGAGAGAGAGAGAATAGCTAGAACGATAACAACATTGGAAAGAGAACTGAGCACCGGCAAGATGAGCCCACCAACAATGCCGGGGCCAAGAATTTCCAGTAGAACTTCACTTCCATCCGAAAAATACTTCGCCACAGAGAAAATCAAATACCCATACACGAGGATGAGGAATATATTTCCGACGATAGTGTTGCTACAGGGCATAAAACCATATGGTTCTTCACAGGTTTCCGATGGAACCAAGCCGTTAAGAAGCAGAAATAGCGGTTGATAAGCTTCATTGAGTCCATGTTAATCTACTATTTTTGACTTGGTTGTGTATAAATTTTGAGTCTTAGTGCTGTGTCAAGTGAAGGAAACGCAGACTCAACTGAGTGATTGAAGCCAAATCGTCAATGAAGAGAGGTCTTAGTTCCTTTTTTTGCCTTCCCCTACCAGGATATCACAATTGCAGATCGCAGGGCCGAGAGAGAGAGAGGGGCTGGTTGAGGCTTAAGCTTGTACTTGAGTTAAGTCTTCGTCGTCAAGGATCCGTTCGACAGAGGCAGAGGAGAGGCGTGACTGCTTCAGATCAGAAGTAACTAGGGCAAAAATGCCCAAAATCTGGTTTTTATAGTATTTTTAATTACCCGCCCGATTTGTCCCAACTCGTCCGGATTGAACGGTTTCATAAAGAATCGGCCAGTTTAGTGACTTTTAAACGGTTATCAAGCTTAACCGGCCTGGTTTGAGGTTCGGTTTGAGCACCAAAACACGGACCCAATCAACGTGGAACTCGAAAAAATTCGAAGAAGAAGGCAATGGTCTTTTGAGAGCTATACGGGATCCGGCTCATCTGTTTTTTCCTAAGAATAATATGGCGGCTGTTCGCCCAAAACGGTGCTGTTTTGCACTCTGTTTTTTTTTTTTTTGCTCGTTAAACGACCCTGATACAATTACTCTTGAACAGTTCCAAAAGTTTGATTTGGCGCCATTCTTGGCGCACTCCTTCACCAAAAACAAACAACCGGTTTTGCGATTCTTGGTGCACGCTGGAACAAAAAAATTCAAATTTTCCTCTTACCTTTTCCAAGAAATGAAGCAAGATTTGTTTATTCACAAAGGTAATGTTTGGTTTTGTAATTCATCTACTTTGTCCATTTTGAGTATTCTTATGTCCATTTTGAATATTTTTAAGTGAATAAATGTATAAACGTATAAACACACACCTACACACAAACATACATGCACACCCACAAATTTATAATTTTATTAGTTGGATTTTTCTTGACCTAAATTTTAAAAAAATATGAATATTTGATTGTTTTATTGATTTCTTTGATAATTATTAATTTTTATGATATGATTTAACTGTGATGTTTTGGTTTGTTGTTAATTTATATTGATCGTGGGTTTAAATCTTATCGCCACCTTCTCCATGTTACATACTGTTCAAAAAAAAAAAATGCATTGAAGCTTGTTTTAGTGTTAATATACTAGTTAGTCAATTTCTTTTTGCAGGTACTGACATCTATAATGGAATCCGTTGTTGTTAATGAAATTGTGAACACTCAAAGTATTGGTATGCAGTTTGACTCGAATGAAGATGCTTATGAGTTTTATAACAAATATGAAGTTTTGGTTGGATTTAGTGTGAGAAAAGACTATCACAATAAAAATAAGAAAGACCAGATTATGATTTATAGAAAATATGTTTGTTACAAAGAGGGACAAAGAGATGTGGATAAAAGGGATTGAAAAGTAATAAAGTCGCGAGCCGAGATATGAACCAAATGTCCAACTCACATGTGCATATCCCTCAATTGGAAAATTGAAAAATTTATCGTAGTCAAATAGGAGGATGATCACAATCATCCATTGCACTTTAAGGAATGTGTGTATATGATGCCATCCCAAAGGAAAATTTTTACTATGCAAGACATTCACATTGACATGACAGCGGATTGTGGGATATTACTTAAAGATTCATATGAACTTATGAGTACCCAAGCAGGTGGAAGGGAAAATTTGGAGTTCACTCGGCAAGATCAAAAAAATTACATCCGTGATAGGAGGCAACAAGAGTTGAGATATAGTAAAGCTGATAGTTTGCTGAATTATTTTCAGTTAAAAGCGGTTAAAAATCCATCATTTTATTATGGTATCCAGTTGGATGTTGAGAAGCAAATTACAAATATTTTTTGGACTGACTTTAAAATGATTATTGACTATAGTCACTTTGGAGACGTTGTCTCATTTGACACAACTCTACAATGAATTTGTTTTTAGCGACGAATTGACTCATCGCAAAATGTATAAATTTTGTCGTCAAAAATTTTTGATGACGAACTCATTTCGTTATCATTTTGTTGCTTTAGGCTCGTCTGAGAAAGTTTTCAGCGACAACAAAAATTTCGTTACCAAAAATACACAATAGGTGACCATAATCTTGTTGCTAAACATGTTCTTATTTCGTCACCAATGTTTTGTTCGTCGCCAAAAATTAAATTATTTTAACCACATAAAATCTTTAGCAACGATTATATTCATCGCAAAATGTAAAAAACTTTAGCGACCGTCTCTATTTACTTGCTAAAAATAAGTACACAAAATATTGGCGACAAATATATTTGTCTCCCAAAAAGTCAATCAGCATTTTAGCAAGGAATTTTTTTCATCGCCAAAATGATGAACAATGTTTTAGCGACGACTTATTTTCGTTGCCCAAAAAATGAACATGATTAAATTCCATTTGGCCCTATCACAATTTAAAAACACTTATACCAACTCAAAAACATTTCAACCAATTTCAATCATATACCTATGGCAATAGATAATCTATAAAAACACATCATAATTACTAAAACATTAATATATTACTCATAATATAAAATAACGTCCAACAAATTTCAATGACATCAAACAATATCCAAAATTTTCAACATCCAATATCCCAACATCTAAAATCCCAACAACAAAATATCTTAAATATTTAAAAGAAAAAATGTCTGGGTATCCAAAAAAAGCTATTTACAATCCATCTTCAATCTGTGACAAACACAAAAACTCATTAATGCATTATAGATAAGAAGTACAAGAAAAAATATATAAATTTTGAGTTTATGGGTTAATAAATTAATATTTGACTAAGTATATGATATTAGCCAAAAAAAAAAACATAAGTCCATAGATAAAATAGCTTACCAAGATAAAGTTGAATTGCTTGGCTCCCCAATGCCCCCACCACGCTGCACTGCTAACCTCACCTCTGTCATTTGTTGCATCATCATTTCTTACCACTTCTCCATTTGCTGGAATTTTTTTCTTGGTTTCATCCAACTCTATCTTCAAACTTGTCACCTCTTCTTCATTTGCAATAGTTTTAGACGTCTTTTTTGAAGAAGGTTTCGATCCAACCTCATAACCTCTCTTATAACCAGACTTGCAGTCAAGGACGATGTTTGTAATCTTCTCCTTAGACATATGTGATTCACCATCTTATGTGGACTTGTCTCTTAATTCCTTCATTTGGTTCTAAAATTTTAAAAAATAATTGATAAAGTGTTCACAAAACGAAACTTATCAACCTTATAAATCTCAAATACAATAACATCAAGAAAATTTTTATACTTACGTATCAAGACTCAGTTTCTTGTGATATCCATTTATTCGACTTCTTGTTAAAGTGAGATTCACGAAAAAGATCTACAAAATGAAGTGGCTCCTGGGTCTCGAGTTCTTTCTGTTTTAAAAAATTGTATAGTTACAACACCTTAAATAAGATAACATACAAAAAAAGTATAAGTTAAAACACTTAACCATAACATGCATTGCAAATGGAAAAGATTTGGAACCCATAGCATGATTGTAAGGTAGCTTGGCACAATTTGTAGAATTTATTTTAGATCGTTTCTACATAAAAAATTTAATATAGGTTAGTGTAGGGACAATATCCGATTGTAAATAAAAACCATCAACATAAGTGATAAAATATCAAGTTTTTACTTGAAATTCTGGACTCTTGAATATATGCTCGATTATATAATACCAATCATCCGTACTAACTTGTTTGTAGGACTCATTTTTTGGGTCCAGACCAACCTTCACCAATTGTTTATAGTGACTGTGCATCTTAGAATGATGGTCACTATACAAACAAGCAAACTTAGCTTCAATGTTTTTCTAAACATTTTTTGACTCATTGTATCCGATAGTGTCAAACCTTGTCTGTACAAAAAAATAGTACATTATTTTGAACAAAAAATAAATATAATAAAATAAGTATAATTACCCGGAGACGTGCAATGATAGGGGCACGCATGTCATCAAATAAATCATTCCATAGGGTTACAATAATTGAGACGAAAACCCTAGCTAAGGCTCTCATCTCATTAATGCAATGTTGTGCATTTTCTCTGACTGGGAAATTCACACCATTAGGGATCTTAGCACGCAGTTTCCCATTTGCCTCCACCATCTTCTCTACAACATTTCCTCGTGTAGGATCTCACCCTTTCCTTGAGGTCGACCCTGACATTACCAAAATATAATAGATGAATAGAGAAAATATTTTAAAAGTGTCTAATACAAATGAAATCATACTTGTACTGCTAGCTATAGTATGTGGACTACTGATGGTCGATGTCGGTGATGGGGGATTGAACCTCCTAATGTGTAGTTGCAGGTGTAGATAAGACTTTGGGTCGACAACCTAGAGCCATTTAAAACAATTCGATCTTGTGATGCATCCAAATCTTTAATCCTCAATGTCTTAGAACATAATTGTTGAAAGTAGTTGCCTAACTCAAACAAAGCAGTACATATTTATTTATCAAGAAACCCACGTATTCCTATTGGAATAAGTCGTTGTAGGAGAACATGACAATCATGAATTTTTAGACCTGATACTTTTCCATCTTTAGTGCTTACAAATCTTGAGATGTTACCTGCATAACCATCAGGATACTTCACTGATTTCAGAAAATCATAAAATTCTTGTCTCTTTTTTGGTGATAATGCGTACCACGCGCGGGCCCGGGGGGGGGGGGGGGGCTTTACATAAGAATCACTCCACTGTTGAAGGTGCAACTCTGTCCTTATGTGCAGATCTTCCAAATCTTGACGAGCTTTTTCAGTGTCCTTGTTCTTTCCATCAATGCTAAGCAACGTTCCAAGAATGTTGTCATATATTTTTCTCTATATGCATGACATCGAGGTTGTGTCAAAGGTTGAGTTTCACCCAGGTAGCTAAAAGAATATGCTCTTCTTCGTCCAATTAAGTTCATCA